TGACGTCTTCCTAAAATAAACATCGGTGGTGGTGTTAGCTGCCAATTTGGTTCTGACTTATAGCAACCCTACGCACAGTAGAACCAAATTCTGCCCGGTCCTGGTCCATCCTCACAATTGTTACGCTGGAGCCCATTGCTGCTGCCACTGTACCAGTCCTTCTTGTTGGGGGTCTTCCTCTTTCTTCCTGACCCTCCACTTTGCCAAGCATGATGCCCTTCTCCAGGGGCTGGTCTCTCTTGATAGTATGTCTGAAGTATAAGAGATGAAGTCTAGATACTGGCTTCCAAGGAGCATTCTGACTATACTTCTTATAACACAGATTTATTTGTTCTTCTGGCAGTCCCTGGTTACTTTCAATATTCTTCTCTAACATTATAACTCAAATGCATCAGTTCTTCTATGGTCTTCCTTATTCACTGTGCAACTTTGACATGTATATGAGGCTATTGAAAATACCATGGCTTCAGTCAGGTGCATCTTAGTTCTCAAGTTGATCACTTAGCTCTTGAACACTTTAAAGAGGTCTTGTGCAGAAGATTTGCCTAATGTGGTTCATCTTTTGATTTCATGACTGATGCTTCTATAAGTGTTGATTGTGGATCCAAGCAAAAGGAAGTCTTTGACAATTTCAATCTTTTGTCTATTATATTATTTACTGGTCCAGTATTGAGGATTGTTGTGGGGGTTTTTTTGTTTGTTTTTTTACATTGAGGTGCAATCCTTGCTTTATGCTGTAGTCTTTGATCTTCATCAATAAGTCTTAAGTACTTTTCACTTTCAGCAAGCAAGGTTGTATCATATAACAGGTTGTTAATCAGCCTTCCTCCAATCCTGATAACACATTCTTATTCATATAACCCGGTTTCTTGAATTTTTTGCTTATGTAAGTATGGTGAAAGAATACAACCCTGGCAAACACCTTTTCTGATTTTAAACGGTTCAGTATTCCCTTGTTCTGTTTGAATGACTGCCTTTTGATCTATGTACAGGTTCCTCATGAACACAATTAAATGTTCTGGAATACTCATTCTTTACAATGTTATCCATAGCTTGTCATGATCCAGTCAAAACTCTTTTATCGTCAATAAAGCACAAGTAAACACCTTCCTGATATTCTCTGCTTTCAGCCAAGATCCATCAGAGGTCAGCAATGATATCCCTAGGTCCATGTCCTCTTTTGACTCCAGTTTGAATTTCTGGCGCTTCTCTGTCCATCCATTTTTTAAGTAACATCAGCACAATTTTACTTGCTGCACCATTTCTTTATCTTTACCAGCAAAGAATGTCTGCCTTGAGTATTATGCAGTTTTAAAAACTATCTGTATGGGAGTCCTGGTGTGGTGCTGTGGGATAATGCACTGGGCCACAAGGACAGTTTAAACCACAAGGTCATCAGTTGAAGTTCACCACCTGCTCCTTGGGAACCCTATACAGGGTCGCTATGAGTCAGAACTGACTGCATGGTACTTAATAATGACAGCAACAGTATGGGACCAAATTGAGAACAGCAGCTTGGAAGATTAGGTAACTGTAAAGGGCAGTGAGTTTGTGTTAATGGGAGAGAAACTATTAGGAAAGGAAGGGTGAAAATATATGACGCGAAAAATGCAATCAATGTCACTGAATTGTATGTGTAGAAACGACATAGTTTATGTTTTTCTGTGTATATTCTCAACAACAACAATAAAATAAGTCCCTTCAGCATGCCAAAACTGCCGTTTTAACATGGTGTAAATCAAAGAGTTCAGCCTTCAGAAGTGTCTAGACCTAAGTGGAGGATATGTCAAGAAACAATTGCTTCACATTTAGATATTTTTGTTTAATAAAGGATTCTGTGATTTTGTAGCTATACTTTTTGCCTTATCCTCATAAAAAAAAAACTTAAAAAAGACTCAACCAGCATAAAATACTGGTGGTGCCAAGGTTCAGAGCTCTCACTTTAAACTGTTTGTATACTTAGAACTTTGATAACAGCTAATCAGGGACACCCAGGTGGCCAAGCTTCATCTCTCATCCTTCGGACATATTGTCGCTGGAGAAGTTTATCATGTTTGGTAAGGTGGAGGGTCAGAGAAAAAGAGGAAGACCCCCAACAAGATAGATTGGCCAAGTGACAGGGTCGATGGACTCAAGTGTGGCAACAGTAGTGAGGTTGGCCCAGGATCGGGCAGGGTTTCCTTCTGTTTTGCATAAGGTCCTTTAGAGTTGGTAATGGCACCTAACAACAACAACAACAATGAGGGATGAGTGGTGTTGGGGAGACAGCTGCAGCTTTGATAAAGGTGAGCCTGGGCTGCTGCAGCAAAGGACAGAACTTGTTTCACAGCCTGGGATGGAATGGGGACCATTTCCTGGAGATAACAATGAAGAAACATTTAAAGAATAATAAGGGGTGCTCTACGCATGGGGATGTTGTTGTTGTTAAGTACCTTGGAGTCAGTTTGGACTCACAGTGACCCTGCACAGGATTTATGAGGCTGTAAATCTTTACAGGAGCAGAATACCTCATCTTTTTCCCGCCGAACCTCTGGTAGTTTCGAACTGCTGACCTTGAGGTTGGCAGCCCGACTTGTAATCACTATGCTACCAGACATAGGTATAGGAGATTTAATAGCTAACCATTTTCTAAGTGAAATCATATTTAAGTTAGCAGCATTAGAACCTATCATCTAGCTCTGGGCATATTACAACTCTGTTTAAAGCATTGTGTTAGACATTATGATAAAATTGATAGGGAAACAGACAATAAGAACTAAAGGAAAAATTACCAGACATGACAGCCATAGGATCTAAGACATTTCTCTAATTATGCTCCTGATTTGAAACTGAGCTGCCTGGCAGCCAGGTCAAAAGGAGAAACTCCATTAATCATACATTACTGGCAAGGAGGAAGGCTGGCAGACACTTTTGGGAAATTGAGCTTTCCTGGGTAGAATTGAACTTCCTTTCAGGAGTTGGAGGCAGGGGAGGTCTAAGGGGCCGGATACGCCTAGGATACCATCATCACCACCTTTGAATCATAAAGACATTGCCGCTTTGTATGGGTGCTTTCCCAATTTGATGACTTTGTTCAAAGTTATTTAAAAGCAACTCAGTAAAAGGCAATTCCCAGGAGCTGGCAGTGTAGTCTTCTAGGAAATGCATTATCAATGCAGTGACTCCTTAGAAAGCAACCTGTTCTAAAGAGTTGAAAAAATAAGCTTGTTCCACCCAACAATCCTGGTTCTGGGACTTTATCCTGAGGAAGTAAATGAAAAAAAGAAAATGAAATATGCAAAAGTACCTATTGGAGCCTCGTTTCTATGACATGGAAACGACCTAAATGATTAACAATCGAGCAAAATTTTCAATTATGCAAGAAGTATATAAGTATTATAAAAAATGCAAATATATTACAAGCAAAGCTGAAATCCCTCTTGACACCACCTCCACCACTCCCACTTTCAGACCCCTCTTCTGGGGGAACCACATTGCATTTTTGTATTTCTCTCAGGATCTTTTTCTTCTTTCTTTACATACATATGTCTATACATGTAGAAACAGGCATTTTATTTTATGAAGAGATTTTGTAATGTACTTGGTATCGTATTCTACATATTGTTCTATAACTTGCTGTTTTTTTCAGTGGGTTTTTATGCCAATATAGTTAGATCCCCCTTGTTTGTTTGTTTGTTAACTGCTGCATATTATTCTATTCATGAGCTTAGTTAAGTGTTGCAGGTACTAGACTGCAAGGTCAGTTTGAACCGCAAGGTTGGCAGTTCAAACCTCACCTGCCACTCCTCGGAAACCCTATACAGAGTCTCTATGAGTGGGAACTGACTCGACAGCACTTAACAACAACAAGATGAATTGATATTTTTTTAAAGATTACTGAATATGAAAACTCTACAGAAAAATAGGAGTATATAAAAGGATAAAGTAAAAATTGAGGATACAATTTTATACGTAAGCTAAGTGTACAATTTTATATATACAATACAAGGAGGCTTCCCAAAGTTCATGGGAAAATTCTGTTGTTCCATTTTCTCCAGAATGTTTGATGCCCCTTTTCACTTTTAAGTAGGCGAAAGTATGTGTACCTAGGGACAAGGACTGTTAGGGACTGAATTATGTCTCCTAAAAGGACAATCTGAAGTTCTACCCACTGGTATGTATCTGTGAACATGACTTTGTTTGGAAGTATGGTCTTAGAGGATATTATCAGTTACCACGAGGTCGTACTGAAGCAAGATATACATATCTTGACAATATGAGTGATATCATTATAGAAAGATGGGAAGAGATACAGACAGGCAGAGAGAAGACGCCATGTGAGGACAGAGATGGAGATTAGAGTTTTGCCACAAACCAAGGAGCTCCTGGGACCACAAGAAGCTGGACGAGGAGAGGAAGGATTCTCCCCCTGGAGCTTCAGAGCGTGCATGGCCCCTCTCTTGGTACCAGACTTCCAGCCTCTAGAACCAAAAGAAGAAATTCCTGTTGTTTTAAGCCACCAACTTTATGGTACTTTGTTATGCTGCCTTAGGAAACGAAAACAAGGACTAAAATAAATACAAAAAAATGAACACAGCTGCATTAGGGTGGTAGAAATGCAGTCTACTCTTTTAAGTTTCTTTTAAGTTTTGGTTACAAAAAAATTACAAAACAAAACATTGCTCTCAAGTTGATTCCAAGTCAGGGTGACCACATGTGTTCCCTAGAGCATTGTCCCCCAGAGAGTTTTCAGTGGCTGGTGATCAGAAGTAGATCACCAGTCTTGTGAAGCACCTCTGGGTGGACCCAAACCTCCAAACTTCCAGTCAGTAGCAAGTACGTTAACCTACCCAGGAACAATGTTATAATTCATTGAAAATAAAAACATTTTCAGACACTCTCTAGTCCTGATACCAGTATGCCATCTCCTTCCTCAGGAAAGGTTTTGTACTGACTTTTGCCGTTTCAGGTGGTTTTTCTTGACCCAGTCTCCATGACCTGTTTTTGTTTGTTTGTTTCAGCTAAAACTTACCTGGTTGACCTGAGTAACGAGCATGCCATGTGGCTTACCATCTCCATGCAGCCCGACAGAGTGACCCGCAAGTTTGTCCCTGGCTGCTTTGTGTGCCTGGAGTCTCCTCGGACCTGCACCACCAACTTGACCCTGACTTCTGGCACCAAACACAAGATCTCCTTCCTCTGTGACAACCTGACCCGCCTGTGGATGAAGGCAGAGAAAACCCTAAGTATGTCTGGCTAGTACTTTCTACCCTGGGCCACAGGAGGCTCTTACCCCTCCCTGCCTTATCTTCACAGTGGGGTTCACTAGGTGGGTTGTAAATAGTATGATCAGAAATAACCCAACTGCTGTGCAGATAGGCAAGGGAAAGCTCTAGAGCCAGGCAGCCCCAGTTTGAGCATGCATCCTTCAAAAGTATAGAATTTCCCAAGCCATACACTCCCTTATCCATATTCATTTCTCCTCTACTGTCCTTCCAGACACCCTCTTGTAAAGTCTTTTCCTCCCTACGTCTCCCACGGCCATGTTCCAGGCTTCTACACCCAGTGCCCACTCATCTCTCACATGCGATGGGGATCCTTGAGGTCAAGAGCCTGGCCTCGTTCCATTTTTATGCCTTCAGTCCCTAGCAGTGCTAGACCTGTTCTAGTCACCTAATGAATGTGTGATAAATGAAGGGCAGCAAAACCAGCGCTTACCACCTGCCGGGCCACACATGCACACTCTCTGTCATGGATGCTGTTAGAATCTCTACAGATGCAAATCAGCCTACCTGTGGTCACCTCAGTAGGAAATGGCAGAGCTGAATGTGAGGATGATCCCAGCATCACTCGTGGTTCTGCCCACTACACAGAACTGCCTCCCCGCAGACTGGGACGCTGGAAGGCATGCCCTGTGCATATAGCTGTTAGCATCCAAGACACAGCTACCCAGAAGAGATAACGTAGCAAAAAAAGAAAAAATATCAAGCATAAGTAACTCCTCAGCAATCTGTCTGCCAGGTTAGTAGATAGTAAGAGTTTGAGAGGATTTCCTAGAAGTTTGCATCCACCCAGAAATTCCTGGGAAGAACAACCCAGTGGTCTACTTCTATCAGCTATTGATTGAAAATTCTATGGAGTTAATGATGGAAGAATAGTTTGGAAAAGGACAGTGGTGTTGGCTCTAAAGCAGGTTGAACATAATCAGTCACTATTGCATATTTAAAAATTGTTGTATTGGCAAATGTTTTTTTTTTACGTGTTAAAATGTTTTATTATCATAATAAAATAAAAAAAGGAGAGGAGGGAGGAAGCAGAGAAAGATAGCTTTATGGAACACAGTTCTGTGCACATGGGGTCCTCATGGGTTAGAGTTGACTCTGCAGCAGCAGCTGGTTTAAATGTGAGCGAGCAGGAGGAAAGGCCGAAACATGAAGACGCTGGGTGGAGAGGAGAGACAGAGGGAAAGGCAGGGAAACAGCCTGGTGTCCAGCCTGGGGGAAGCTCTCCCTTTGTGTGCGTACCATTAGCCCCTCTTTTCCAGGTTGCACAGACTACCGGTACTGCCACAGGAGGTCCTACCCTCTCCAGGTGCCTGGGAACATCCTCCAGCTGCCCGTGCAGCTGCACGACTTCACCTGGAAGCTGTTGGTGCCCAAGGACAAGCTCAGCCTGGCGCTGATGCCCACTCAGAAGCTGCAGCAGTCTACCAATGAGAGGCTCTGCAACACCAGCTTTAGCTACCTCGTGGCCAGTGCTGTCCCCGGACAGGACCTCTATTTTGGCTCCTTCTGCCCTGGAGGCTCCATCGAGCAAATCCAGGTGAAGCAGAACATCTCAGTAACCCTCCGCACCTTCAAACCCAGCTTCCGTCAAGAGATCACCAGGCAGGGCCTGACTGTGTTCTTTGTACCTTATTTCAAAGGTAAGGGGCTTTTTCACTGTCCCCCCACATCTTCATGTCTCCCTAGACTTTTTCATGTGGACATTCATTTTATTGTAGTTTCTGCTCACCTTAATTAAGAAGAGAGATGACTAAATGGGCTGGAGGTAGGTAAGAAGTTGTTGTTAAGTGTTGTCAAGTCAGTTCCAACTCATAGCAGCCCTGTATCGGGTTTTCGAGGAGCAGCTGGTGGGTTTGAACTGCCAACCTTGTGGTTCACAGTTCAGTGCTGATCCTACAGCATCACATCAGGAGTCCTTGGTAAGAAGAGAAGCTGCTAAAAGAGTTGGAAGTGGTTGTTCTGAGGAGTAAAAATAGAGGTGGAAAGGTAGAGAGGGAGTTCTGTTTTGTTTTTTTGTTTTTTACATAATCTTGGCAAACAATTTGGTTCTTTAAACCAGTGGTTCTCTGTCAGAAGCAGTCGTGAGTCCTAATCTTGACTTGTCCATTAGCCTAGCTTGGAAATTTCCAAGGTTTAGAAGTAAGGAAGAGTTTCTGATGGTGGGGTTGATGGTTGGTAGGCAGCAGAACAAAGAATCAGGGCTGAATCTTTTTTTGGAAGCAGGCAGAGTATATGTGAGCAATAACCAAGTATTCCAAAGTTCTGGGTATTTAACATGAGACTTGTTGCTGTTACGTGCCGTGGCGTCAGTTCCAACGCATAGCGACCCTGTACGGGGTTTCCAAGGCTGTATATCTTTATGGGAGCAGAAAGCCTCATCTTCCATGGAACAGCTGGTAGTTTTGAACTGATGACTCTGTGGTTAGCAGCCCTATTCGTAACCACAGCGCTACCAGAGCTCCTTTAAGGAGCCTTAGGCAGGTATTTTTATGGCTCTTCTTTTACAATGCAGAATGTTCTGTGGGGAGCACAGAAGAGGGGATACTAGGAGAGAGATGAATCTGCCTCTGGAACACTAAGAGTTCTCCAGCTTGGGGAGCAGGGACCTTGGAAGACTGTTGTGTGGGTTTCAGTGTTTTTAGGCAGGAAATGAAGTCTACTCACTTCACAGTTTTGACATCTACATGGTTTGTTAAAAATGTCACAGTCTTCCTTATGATTTACTCAAAAGTTCTTTAAGTCAGAGGGCATTTGAAAATCAGCCAAGACCATCCTACTTTTGTTCTCGGAGGCAAAAGTGTGAGGGAGAAAAATGTTTGGCCCTAAGATTAAGGTTGGTCCACACTTCCTGGCCTCTCCAAGATCACCAGAGAAACTCCTTCCAGGGAGTTTCTGAAAATAAGACATTTTCTCATCCGTGTGGAATCAGTGATTTTTTTCCTGCTTCATAGTTGTAGAGTTCTTCCCCAAACCTGAAGGTATTTCTTATTCTCTGAAATAGAAATAAGAACATACCAACCCAACCATGATGCAAGGCTAACAGATGAATATTAACCAAGATAATGACATTCCGGAATGAAAGGTCTGAAATAGGCACTGGTTTGGCAAACTGACCCATTTGGTATTTGCTTTGTTGGTTTTCTGTTTTTAAAAATCTGAACTTCTAATTTGACTGAGCCTCTGACTTTGTACTGACCGGTATGGTAGTCACTGGCCACATGTTGCATTTATATTAAACCTCATGGTTCTTCAGTCACACTGGGCACATTTCAGGTAGTCAGTAGATACATGTGGCTAGTGGCTACTGTATTGGACTGTGCCACTATAGAATAGTTCCATCACCACAGACTGTTTCACTAGACAGCACTGATCTAGATCATTTCACAGTGTCTCCTCCATCACTGCTTTTTGCCTCCATGTTGATTGAATGTAACAGTATCTATCTGGATTCCTTCCCTTTCCTGCAGAAGATGGCATTTTCACAGTGACCCCAGACACAAAAAGCAAGGTCTACTTGAGGACCCCTACCTGGGACTGGGGACTCCCACCTCTCACCTCAGTGTCTTGGAATGTCAGTGTGCCCAAGAACCAGGTGGCCTGCCTGACCTTCCTCAAGGAGCGGACCGGTGTGGTCTGCCAGACGGGGCGTGCATTCATGATCATCCAGGAACAGCGGAGCCATGCTGAGGAGATCTTCAATCTAGAAGACGAGGTGCTCCCCAAGCCAAGCTTCCGCCATCACAGCTTCTGGGTTAACATCTCCAACTGCAGCCCTGTGAGTGGCAAGCAGTTTGACCTGCTCTTCTGGGTGACACTCACCCCAAGGAAGACAGGTAAGGGCATTTCAGGTCTTCCGGGGATGATGATGAACAGAAACCTGGGGAAATGGAGGAACAAACTTGGGGTGGGAGTCAGGAAACATGATTCCTGATTTGTTCATTCCTGTATCAGTCAGTTATTGCATCCATAATGCATAATAAATCACCTCCGAACTAGTTAGGGACCATTGAGTTAGGTACCAGGCGACAGAAAAGAACTACCCCAAAGGGTTTTCTTGGCTGTAATCTTTAAAGGAGCAGATTGTAAAGTTTTTCGCTCTCAGGGCCGTTGGGTAGGTTCAAACTCCCAAACTTACCAGGACTACCCAGAATTTAGGGACTTCAAACAACTATTATAAATGTTCATAGGTTGACTGGGCAGTTCTGGTTTGAGCTGGACTTATCAGGGCTCACTTGAACACCTATGAGCAGATGCAGGTTAGCTAGGTGACTTTGTCATGGTACCCTCACATGTTTGGGGACCAGCCAAGGTCAGCTGGAACAACTGGGCTTCCTTGACACTCTTCCACATGATCTCTCATCCTCCAGCCTGGGCCTGTTCTTATAACAGATACAGAGAAGTTCAAGAGAGAGTGGAAGCATGCAGAGTTCCTTGATTTAGAAATAACGTCTACCATGTTATTTTGGCTGAAGGAAGTCATGTGGCCAGCCGCAATTCTAGGGGTACAAGTAGACTCCACCTCTTAATAGGAGGAGCTCACCAGAGTTGCATAGTTAAAGATGTGATTTAGGGAGAGGGTAGAATTAGGGCATTTTGTATTCAATGTACCACTGTCCTTTCCTATTCGTCTCTCCCTGACATAGAGGAAGTGTCTTTATCACCCTCTGATCTTGGCTTCCTCTTCTGTAGTGAGTAGATGATAACAACTGTCTCATAAACATATTGTGAGTATTTGGTGTAAATGATTAAAAAGAGGGAACTGGAAAGCATGACATAACTTTCAAGCAAGAGAAAGGCCCTCTTCTGATTTGCAGGTGTGCTAGAACAACTCCTGGTGTGGCCATGTGTGCTCTTTATTCCAAGATGGCCACAGAGCATCACAGAGTATTGGAAGCAGAAAGGACCATGGAGGTCGTTTCCTCAGATCCTTCCCGCTCTGGCAGTTAGAGAGACTGTCTGTCCAAGTCAGTTAGTAACTAGAGAAGTGGTGTGAAACAAAAGCCACAGTGAGAGGTGTCCCCTCATTCTCGATTAGTTCCTGGGCTTTTTTCTTCTCTGACATTTCTCTTCTGTCATGTTTTCCTATTCCTGTTTTCTCTTGGTCTCAGCTTTTGGTGTGTTGGTGAATAAGCAAGAAATTCTCAATCTGGAAACATTTGGAACGGTGCTTGCTCCCTCTGATTTCTTTTCCTTTTCTTTTGTATCAGTCTAGGAAATGGCCAGCATACAAGCAGTAGCCCTCTCCTTAACTCCTTCACTTCTAACTGTTCACTCCCTGCTTTCTCCTACACGCCTCTGCTCTTCTCTTCTCCAAGACAGGCTGAGACATTTGGGGGAACAATCACAGACTAGACCAGGAGTAGCCTTTGGAGTAGATCTGGTAGGTACCCCCAGACCCCCTAGGTTTGTTTCATTTATCTATTGCTGCATAACAAACTGTCCTGAAATTTAATGGCTTAAGACAACCATTTTATTTCTTCATCATTCCATTCCATGAGTCAAGAATTCAGACAGGGTATAACAGGATGGCTAATCTCAGCTCTAAGATATCTGGGGTCTTGGCCAAATGCCTCAAACAGCCAGGGGCTCGCTAGGATGGTTCAACTGGGGCCATGTCTGAGGTCTTGATGCTCACTTTCCACGGGGTTCCCTCATTTTTATCTCCCATGGAGTCTCTATATAGCTATCTAGGGCTTCCTCGCTGCATGGTGGGCTCTGCAGTGAGATTTTTTGCATGATGACTGACTTCATGCCAGAGAAGTTCCAGAATTCTTTAAGGCTTGGCACAGCTACATTCTATTGGCCAGCCCAAACTTGGAAGGAAACAAGCTTTTTGTCTTCCTTGAGGCGCCGTATATACATACAAGGAGGGAAGGAATTGATGGCGGCCATTTTTTGGAGGCAGTTTACAAGTTCACCTTTGGCTTAACCCCGTGTGTGTCTTCACTCTCTCCTTTGTGTCTCTGCTCACAGACTTGACAGTAGTCATCATTACAGCAGTGGGAGGTGGAGCTTTACTGCTGTTTGTCCTCGGACTCATCATTTGTTGTGTGAAAAGGAAGTAAGTGGAATTTCTCAAACTTTCTTCTGCTGAAACTGCCTCAGATCTAGGCAGAGCAGATGTTTCATGAATTTTTTACCTTTTTTCTTGCTTCCTATTTATCCCCAAAGGTCAACATTAAGTAGTGTTGCCAGATGAGAGTTATGCTTTAAGGAGAAAAAAATCCAAACCATATACCTAGGCAAAAGAAGCATGTTGTGGCATTTGGGCCTGCTGTTGACTCTGCCCCAGCACTAGATCCCTGTGAATCATTGACTGCACGTTAGACCATAGTCATGGAATGAGTGATCTGGGCAGGAACACGCTCATATATATGACTTGTCAGACCAGCCTCTGAAACAACTGTCACCCTGATGGAAAACAAATGCACACTCCCCACAACTTGTTCTCTTCCAGAGCCTTAAACAAACTGTCTGTTTTATGCTTGTTTATTAAATTCCAGACAAGTACAAAAAGCCAGCCCCCTGGGGATGAGAGGACGGAAGGCCCAGTGAACTGATTCAGTCTCACCTCCCACTGCCTGAGGACAACAGCTTCTGTTTTATGAAAGGAGCATCTTGACCTTTTTAGATAGAGCTGGCACTGTCATCAGATTTTATGCATTCTACTCAGATTTCTGATTAAAGTCACAGGGAGGAGGAACAGAAGGGAAGAACCTGTTTTCTTTAGCCTGATTTAACTTTCCTTGAAGCATGACAAAACAAAACCAAAAAAGTTTTGTTGCCTGTGGCCCTACGCAAACAACAGAAATTCCTGATCTGCAATGAGATGGTCTAGAAATGTCTCCGCTGATGAGGATGGTCCAGTTCTTGCAGAAGATTCTGGGAGAGCCTTCTCTCTGAACTGGGATTGTGCATAGGTCATATTCAGGTGAAAGATGACTTTTAAGCCTCATTTTACTGTTCCCCTCAGGAGCCTTTCTTGTCAGGGTGTACCCAGATGGAAGAGTGTAGCGTTCACACAGGGCCGAGTCTCCTCATCTAGAGGAAAGGCACCTCTAAACTACCCTAGTCCTGGCCTGAGTGGATGAGGTCACAGCCGGCAGGTTTGGGTAAGGTCTGCCCTGAAGTTAGTGTGGGAAGATAGATAAGTTTTATGGTGAGGATGAAGGGAAATAACACCATCAAACGTGTTCATTAAGCATATGTGGAGGCTTCAAAAAGTTAATGGAAAATGGAATTAAAAGATAATGGAATTTTTTCCATGATTTTTTTGAGGCCTCCGCCTTATATTTACTGGCTCTCCTGGGTACTACGTACTATGGTAGGTGCTGGAGATACAATAGTGAGCAAGACACAGTATCTCCTATGGAACACACAGTCTGGGGGAAGTAAAGGAGGAAACGAGCCAGTGTCATAGTTGGTCTCAGGGTAGTAAGAGAAGACCTATGTCAGGAACAAGCCAGGCTTTGTGAGAGAGAGCACTGAAGAGGGGCAGCGCTTCTCAGGGGTCTTTGGAGTCCATCATCCTGGCAAAAGACTCAGTGTTAAAAACTCAATGTGATTTTGTTTAATATCAGAAAAGGACAAGGATTCTGTGCACAGATAGTGAGTGAATTCTATGGTCCATTATGCTAATTGAGCTAATGTCCTCCGTTTGGATTTCCCGTGGTATTAGGCTCTCAGAGATGTTAGGGGGTGCTAACGCCTGTCCATGGCCAGGTCCCAGAGAACATAAAGGACCCAACGGTAATGGTGCTATTGAGGAACTCTGGAACCACAGCCTGAACTGTGTCTTCTTTTCTTGGTTGGAGGTTACTGCTGAAGGGACTGGGTCTCTCTGCTAATGTTCTCCCCAAACTCAAGCTCAGATCTAAGATACACCTGTCCTGAGTCTATATGGTCAGAGCTTTGGCTCATGCAAAAGAAGGAATGAGAGAATTCTAGAAGGTGGGTCTGGGCATGCTGAGCCTACTGTGGTGCAGAAAGCCTGGGACACCACCTGTTTCTCATAAGAAAGAGGGCTAAAGGGTCTTCAGACATCTCCACCATTGGATACAGTGTTGCCGCCATCAAGATCCATTGGAGCATAAAGGAAAAAACTAGGAAACCACCCCAGTGCTGTCTAGTCAATTCTGACTCCTATAACCCCATAGGATAGAGTAGAACTGTTCCTTAGGTCTGGTATAGCACTATAGGATAAACACCAGACTGCTAACCAGAAGACCGGCAGTTCAAATCCACCAGCCGCTCTCTTGTAAACCTATAGAGGGTTGCTATGAGTCAGAACCAACTGGACAGCACTTAACAACAATAGCTCTTTATGGAAGCAGACTGCCCCATCGTTTTTCCTCTGTTGGTGGGTTCACACTGCCAACCTTTTGGTTAACAGCTGAGCACTTAACCACTGCATCACCAGGTCATGTTAATTTGAGCGTGGTGGTGGTGTGCCATGGAGATGCTTTCAACTCACAGCAACCCTGCATAGGGTTTCCGAGACTGTAAAACTTCACGACAGTAGACAGCCTCATCTTTCTCCCACAGAATGGCTGGTAGTTTTAAACTGCTGACCTTAAGTGTTAATGGTGCCTTCTCTAAACCACTTTCTCTCTGTTTTTAACTGTGATGTCTCCGTTTTTAACCCTGAAAACTAGAAACAAAAGTTGATCCCTTCAATATGTTCAAGAGCCTTGGTGGTGCAGTGGGTTAACATTCAGTTGCTAACCAAAAGGTCAGCAGTTCAAACCCACCAGCCAGTCCATGAGAGAAAGATGCTGCAGTCTGCTCCCATAAAGATTTGCAGCCTCAGAAAGCATATGGGACAGTTCTGCTCTGACCTGCAGAGTCTCTATGAGTCAGAACCAACTTGATGATAACAGGTTTCTTGGTGTTCACTGAGGTCCGTAGTTGCTGTTTCAAATGCTGAGCAGTTTGAAGGAGATGGAGACAAAGGTTAGAGGCATGAAGAATCTAAGTTGTTAGTTGCTGTCAAGTGGGCTCCAACTCATGGGGACCTTCTGTGCCCAGCTCTGCACCATGTTCATGGCCATTAGTGTGTTTGAGTCATGGAGGTATGTAAGACTGTTTTCCTGATTTCTCTGCCTTGTTCTCTTTCTTCCAGTAAAAATAAAGGGGAAAACAAAGGCCCTGCTGTAGGTATCTACAATGGCAACATCAATACCCAAATGCCAAGGCAGCAAAAAAATTTTCAGAAAGGACGTAAGGACAATGACTCCCACGTGTATGCGGTCATCGATGACACGATGGTGTATGGGCATCTGCTACAGGATTCCAACGGGTCCTTCCTCCAACCAGAGGTGGATACCTACCGACCCTTCCAGGGAAACATGGGAAACCCCCCTCCCTCTCCACCTCCCATATGCTCCCGAGCCCCGACTGCAAAGTTGACTGCAGAGGACCCCCCACCTGGCTTTACTCCTGAGTCAGAAAGTGAACCGTACACCTTCTCCCACCCCAACAATGGGCATGTGGGCAGTGGGAACACAGACATTCCCTTGCTGGACATCAAGGAGCCAGCAAATCCAGGAGAATAACTTGGACCAGCCTGAAACACTTTGCTGAGATGCATGTAGCAGAATACTGAGGCACTCTTTAGTGTTCTTCACCAGAAACCCTAAAGAAGAGGAACTATAGAGAAAGAAGAATAGGAGGTCTTTCTGGATACCCTAGCGTCTGGTTTCCAAATGAACTCATTTCCTTCTAAACTCAGACTAAGTTGTAAAAAGCAACCCATAACAAGAGGGGAGAGGCATGAGTTACCTGGCCCAGGGTTACAACAAGCTCCAGATTTGGAATGATAATACAGCAGCTTGTCCTCTTCAATGCAACAGTTCCAATTCCTGGGAGCCCACCTGTGGTCTCTACTCTCACTGGGATACCCTGGATGAAAATGACAATATGCCTTTTATTATTATTATTATTTATTCGGCGGTCCTGCGTATTTAAGAAGTCAGATGTATATAACCATGCAGCTCTTGTCACTTGACTTAGTGACCACTGATGATTGTGGTTTGGACAGATGGGTTTTGAATTCTACTGACCACTAGATAAAGATGTGCTTCTCCCTGGGAGTGGGAATAATTTGCAGTCTGTCCAGCCAGAAAAGGGGTGTGTGTCTATGACCTGCTATGACCAAAGTCATCCTGGCTGTCCCACTGCAGAGATTCATCAGGTCCTATCGTCCTGTAGTTCTAGAAATGAGAGACATGTCCTTGACGTGTCAGTTTTGTCGCTCCCAGCTATAGCAGTACTTAACCTTTTCAACAGGAATTTAGAGAATGTATTCATCCTCTTCAAATGTTTAAAAATAGAGCCAGAAAGTGACCACCTGTGTTAGTTCCCTGTGAGTGCTGTAACAAATGACCACAAACTTGGTAGCTTAAATGCCACCTTGCAGTTTGGGAGGTCAGAATTCTGGCTTGTGTTCCTCGGCTGGAATCTAGATGACAGAAGCGCTGTGTTCCAGGAGGAAGAGTAGTCTTGTCTAACTTCTAGAAGCTGACGGCTTCCCTTGACCAGTGGTGCCTTTTACCTTCAGAGGCAGGGATGACTGGTCCGGCCTTTCTTGGGTTGCCTCACTCTGACATTCTTCTGCCTCCCCAGCTCAGCTGATAATCTTTTCCATCTCAAGATCCTGTGCTTAATTGCGTCTGTAAAGTCCCTTTTGCCATGTAAGGTAACATCTGCTGGTTCCAGGTATTAGGACACAGACCTCTTTGGATCTCAAGACATCTTGCTTACTGTTACTGAATATCAAAGGTAGTGGTGGTCTTGTGCCGTGGAGTCAGTTCCAGCTCATAGTGACCCTGCATAGGGTTTCTGAGGCTGTAAAGCTTTACGGGAGCAGAAAACGTCATCTTTCTCCTGCAGAGCTGCTGGTAATTTCGAACTGCTAACCTTGAAGTTAGCAGCCCAACTTGTAATCACTATGCTACCAGAGCTCCTGAAATCTCAAAGAAGAGGCTGCAAAATGATTTCGCTTGCTAGTGTGCTTCATTGAGCCTGCAGTTCTAAAGAATACATTACTAGCATTTAAAACGGTTGAAATTTTACATAAAGATCCAGATCACATGATCTGACCGTGCTGGGCTGTCACATTCTTCCCTGACAGTAGTTGGCGGGTGTGGGGCAGCAGCTGCCCCTTTTACATGGAGCACTAAGTTCACCAGTTCACCCCAGTCCCCACCATTGTCTGTCACCTCCCACACTTGATCAGTGTTCTCACAGGGGTGTCTGCTTGTAATGCAATGGAAAGTTTGGGACCCGTATTTATGAGGAGACGTGTAAAAGCTCATGGGAAAATGGAATTGAGAGATAATGGGATTGTTTCACAAAAAATTATTAAGCCCCTCATTTTATTAAGTGAGAAAATAGAGTGTGAAGCTAAATATGTATTTGAAGAACTTTTCTACACCCAGCCCACAGCCCTCATTCACATCAACTACCAGCTCAGCTCCCAGGGGTGTTTGTAATGTGGCCCCTCCTCTAACCTGCTGTTATACCATGGGATCTCTAGTTGTAATTTGTGGTTTTGTGTGCTGACCATATATTTTTTCTAAAGTCACCTCAATTGGGTTGCTACGCTTCACTCTTCCTAAGCTAGGTCCCTCTTGCAGTTCCAGCTAACTTGGCCTCAGATGAAGCCTGCATTCCTTGGGATTATGGGTGCGACAAGAGTACACACCCAGTCAGAATCGCCTGAAATTGGCAGGAGAGAGATCGCGTTATGGCTTGTCAGCATCCTACAGTCCAAAGTTCAGTATTTCCTTGGCAAAACAACCTGTAAGAAACGAATGTGTCTCAGTGTGTTCAGTGAACCCACCTTGGAAGCACATTGCCTTGACTTGTTTGAGTGAGACTGCCTCTGTGAAAAAGTGTTGAGCAATCTTCTAAACTGTGCGGACTCTATAATCTCTTGATCTCTTCCCAGAAGAAAGGGAACTTGTGGAGTTTAGTTTTTGTTTTGTTTTAAATGCTCTCAGTGCTGCTTGGGGCACAGTGTCCTTTCTGAAAGACTGGTTTCCTGCCCATATACCTTTGGCTTCTTAACCTGAGTTGCTTGTGAGTCCCCTCCAGGAATGACTCGAAGAGGGCTGTGGCTTCCTTCCCTCAGCTGAAATGTGTGTTTTAAAATCACTCTTTTGAGCTCTAGGCCCCCATTTTCTACCTTCCCCAACCTCTCGGTCCCTTCCGAGGTCCTCTACAGCAGCTTGCATTCTGCCCAGAGGTGTGGTAGGCCTTCTTTGCCCTGTTACTTCCAAGGACCCCACGTGACCATTTTAACTGAGCTCAAAACTCCAGGTCATGTTGTGCCTTCCTGAAACCGTGGTGGATCTATACTCCAAGTCTGTCATTTCCGTGGCTCTTGTCTTTACAGCCTTGCTGTTAGCGGCTATCAGATTGCTCCCCTACGTCATGGCAATCCCATGCACGGTGGAACCAAACACTTCCCAATCCTGCACCATCCATTGTGATCCAAAGGCTTGTCATTGGCTGATTTTCAGGAGTGGAGTAGATCACCAGGCCTCCTTTTTTTTTTTTTTTAATTAAATAGTCTGTTGTAGTCTGGAAGCTTCACTGAAACCTGTTCAGCATCCAAGCAACATGCAGGTCTGAGGTGACCCAGGTCTCATGCACTCCCACTACCCCCTCTGTAAAGTCGAGGCTCCGCTTACATCAAATATCCCAGGGATACAGGCACCCCTCACTACCCCCTGCTCTGTAAGAAAGTGTAAGAAAGACTGGCACATACAGAACTGATACTAACGCCTAGACTTTTTCATTAGAAGGGAGTGTCTGGAGAAGAGTCACGGGGACAAGCCTAAGTCCATAGAACATAACCTTGGCAAAGGGTAGAGGAACGGTTTGTGTGGATCTGCAGTGCTTAACTGGAAATAATTTATTTGTTGTACAGTTTTTAGATGGCATTTTATTCATTTCTTAAACTTTTTTAAATAAACAAATGTACAAAAATATATGCGTCTCAGCTTGTTTAAATTGTCTGGTTTCTTGTTTCTGGCCCAGTGTTGGCTCATCTCGCAGTTGTGCAGGTGATGAGCTCCACATGGGCCGAGCAGATACTGATGGCACAGGAAGGTGGCCTTGGGCCCGCAAACTCGCCCTTTTCCTTTGGTCTCACCCAGTGTGCAAAGCAGGTGGGGTTTTGGGGTCATGTAGTAAAAGGATAGGCTGGAGTTCTCACTGTGTGCCTTAGGGAAGAATGGAAGTAGTCATCAATGGGCAACTCAAAAGCCAGAGGTTTTCTGTTCTGTGGTGGTCAGACGAGCACTTTGTGTGAACACTGCCCACATCCGACCACCATAGGGACTTGGGCTCTAACTGCAGTCCAGGTCACCAGCAACCAGGCAGCGGAGGGAGGGGAGGGGAGCTCCAGAGGGGCCTTCGCCAATCACCGTGCCCTGGGAGAGGAGACCCGAGCTCCCCTGGTGAGTGTGCCCAAGAGGGTGGATGTTGCTGCACACCAAAATACCCAAAATGTGGCCTAAAACAAAAACCATCATTTATTCTGCTTAAAAATCTGTGAAGTAAAGGCTCTGCAGGGACACCTTATCTCTGCTCCATGTGACAACAGCTGGAATAGCTCAACGTGGGCTCATGAATCTACTTTCAATTTGCCTCACTCAAACAGCTGGCCAGTTAGTGCCAGCTGTTTGTTCCTCTCCCCTTTGGACCAGTCTATAAAGAGTTTTGGACTTCTCACAAAATGGTAGTTGGATTCCAAGAATGAATGTTTTTCCTGGAGCTGGTAAATGGAAGTTGCTAGTCTCTAAAGGTCTGATTCCAGAAACAGTGTCATTTCCTTGCAGCATCTCAGTGCATCCATCACAAAGTCTGGCCAAACTCAATGGGAGAGGTGTCAAGAGTCTTGCAAATGTGTTTAATCGACTACTGTGGGGTTGGAGGTAGTGGGAGATTCTACTCCCTTGGACAACTGTGACCAACACCTTTTCCCTTGACCACCACATCCACACTAGGGTCACATACTCTCACTGCCCCTTCTGATCCTGTTCTCGAACCTCAAGATTCAGTCTTCAATCAGCCTTCTAGACTTTTCTGTGCACAATGCTCCATGAGGTTCCAAATGCGTCCTCTATTTTGATAATGCCTCAGATTTTAGCTGGCACCATCTGGGCTCCAGGTCCATAATTCCAACAGCCTGGTGGCCCTAACAGCGTATACAGGTGGTACCCCACTTAAGACAGGACTCCATTCCAACTAGTGATGGAAGTAGAATGCCCCTTTTTTAAAAAGTTTTCATTATTATTGACTTATTATCAATATCTTTATGAATCTGGCAGTGTTTTGAAGAGTAAATCATAAAATTGAGTATCTGAGAATAAAGCAAATTATACGGTGTACAATTTTTTTTAAAGTCCCAAGTGCAGTTCAACTTCAATATGTCATCATTTAGGGACAACCTTTATATACTAGTGGCACCCCAAACCTGTTAACCTTTTGTTGTTAGGTGCCATTGAGTAGGCGCTGACCCATAGCAACCATGTATAGATAGGGT